GAAACGGGCTTCATGCCCAACAAGCAGCGATTGACGCAAGCGCTGAAATGAAGCGGTCGCAAGCGCTCGAACGCCTTAAACAGCTGACCAGTGAGTTGAATGATTTCGTACAATCGAAGGTCAATATTCACAAGGAGATTAAGTCCAAGACGACTAGTGTAGCTAACGCCCTCCAAAGTTTTGAGAAACTGGACGAAGAATGGCGCTCATCATTGCAGCGCACTTCCCGTGATACACCAGAGAAAACCTGTCAAGCTGACGTCGTGACTGACGAAGCAATGGACACCGGAGCCGAAGGTGACGGTGAATCAGTCGCTGAAGACAGGCGTAAAACTTTCGGCAAGCCTGGTAAGAGAAAAGAAAGACCCTTTCTAGACCCAACATTCAGCCAACCAACAAAGAAGAAAGACCTGAAGGAAAGCCCTCTGCAAAGAACAGCACTGCAAAGCGACGAACAGATGAAAGCGTCAACTTGGCAACGAGTTCAGTCCAGAAAAAAACCGAAAAGACAAAGGAAAGAGCAGCTCCCAAAGCAACCACCGAAAGAACCCCGGCCGGAACCTAAGCGGAAGAAACCGCAAAAATGGATCAGGCCTGACGCTCTGATCATCCGTCCGGTCGAGAGGGACAAGTACGCCGAAATATTGCGTCGTATAAAGCAGGCCGTCCCTGACGAACAGGTCCGCACAACCGTAGAAAAGATCCACAAAACCAAAACTAGGGACATGCTGATTACGCTCTCAAAGAAGAGTATCGACAAAGGCCAAGCCTTGCAAAAGACCATCATGGATATTCTTCAAAAAGAAGCTGAAGTAATCTGCAAAGGACCGCTGGAGACCATCGAGATGCGAGACATTGATGATGACACGACGAAGGAGCACATTCAGACTGCCCTGAAAACGGAAACCGGAGAAACTTGCGAAATACCACTAGAGGCTGTCAAGATCCGTAAGGCTTACAGAGGTACGCAAACGGCTACAGTGACACTACCAGCAGCTGCAGCACAACAGCTACTGGAAGGAAGCGGCAAAATAAGTATTGGCTGGGTCAATTGCCGAATAAGAGCAACTAGAAGGCCAGTCCAATGCTTTAAATGCTGGCACTTTGGACATGTTGGGCCCGAATGTAAAAGCCAAGTAGACCGTTCTAAACTCTGCATCAGATGTGGACAAGAAGGGCACCGTATCGCGGACTGTAAAAATTCTGCCAAGTGTGCAATATGTGCTGAGCAGCAAGGAGCAAAGGACGTGACTCACCATGCTGGCACCTACAGATGCCCGGTATTTCAGGAGGCGCTCCAGAAGTTAACGAACGAACAAGCATGAGGATATTGTAGCTCAATCTCAACCATTGTGAGGCAGCGCATGACCTGCTCATGCAATCCGTGCGAGAATGAGAGCTGGACTTGGTACTAATAGCAGAGCCATATAAACACCTGAGTACCCAACCCTGGGAATCTGACAGCACCTTCAAAGCTGTCATCTGGTCATGTGGCAAGCTTTCTTTCCAAAATGAAGTCGACAACAGCAATGCCGGCTTTGTAGCAGTATCAGTAGAAGGCATCCGCTTCTATAGCTGCTACGCACCACCTAGCCTCTCCATTGTTGACCACTGATTTCCTGGATCGACTAATCGAAGATGCGAAGCAATACCATCCAGTAGCGATAGCCGGAGACTTCAACTCCTGGGCAGTTGACTGGGGCAGCAAACATACAAACGCACGAGGGAAAGCACTACTGAAGGCCTTTACTACACTAGATGTAGTTTTGCTCAACAGTGGTGATACGCCGACCTACACCAAAGGTGACGCAAGCTCAATTGTAGACCTCACTTTTGTCAGTAATAGCCTTGCTAGAGGCGACTGGAACTGGAAAGTGTTGGACATCTACACTGTCAGCGACCATCATGCGATATTCTGGGAAATATCAAGCGACCAGAACCCCAAGAGACCAGTCAAGCAGTCTAACATCGTTGGTTGGAAGGTAAAATCTTTTGACCCAGAAGCATTGCTAATAGCCCTCGATGGTGATCCGATCAACACTGGATGTGCAGAACAACAGATTAAGGACCTGATGAGGAGAGTAACACATGCTTGTGATGCCAGTATGCCTCGTAAACGTGGCATAAATTTGAGACCTTCGGTGCATTGGTGGAACGACCACATCAGCGTCCTCCGTAAAGAGTGTCATAAGAAAAGAAGAATCTCTCAGCGCGGCTATCAACGGCCCAACTCAGTGGAGCTGATCGCAGAGTACAAAAAAGCTCGTCGTGAACTGAATAAAGCCATCAAAGAGAGCGAAAGAAGATGCTGGAAAGAGCTTATATACGAGGTGGATAAAGACGTGTGGGGTAGGCCTTATAAGGTGGTTATGACCCACCTGAAAAAACAACAAATGCCATTACCTACGTGTCCTCAACTTCTTCAGAATATCGTCACTGCACTGTTTTCACAGCAACGCAACTTCGATTACCAGTTGGCGCCAGGTGAATTGGACGACATCCCACCTGTCACTGAAGAAGAACTGCTGGAGGCTTGTAACCGTGTAGGGAATAATAAAGCGCCAGGATTGGACGGAATTCCTAATTTAGCCTTGAAAACCATCATAAAGGAAGCTCCAACATTATTCCTAGACGCTTATAATGCATGCCTCAAGGAGGGGACTTTTCCTCGTAAGTGGAAACAGCAACGATTGGTACTGTTACCTAAAGGGAAAAAACCACCAAAAAAACCGTCATCTTACCGACCACTTTGCATGCTAGATACGGCGGGTAAGATATTTGAGCGCATAATTCATCAACGAATAGATGCAGTAGTCGACCCACTCCTGGCAGACAACCAGTATGGATTCCGGAAAGGACGATCAACCCTGGACGCGATCAATCTGGTTGTTAGCATGGCTAAAGAAGCGATCGCAGGAACCAGATGGAAGGGTGGCACAAAGAAGTATTGCCTGGTGGCGGCATTAGACATTAAAAACGCCTTCAATTCCGCACACTGGAACTGCATCATGCAAGCTCTTTGAGAGAAAAACGTTTCAGAATACCTGTGTAGAATAGTGGCCAGCTATTTCACCGATAGAGTTCTTAAATACGACACGAAGAATGGTCCAAAAGAGTACGATATTACCGGAGGTGTACCCCAGGGCTCTGTACTTGGTCCACTGCTGTGGAATATCATGTACGATGACCTATTGAGATTGAAATTGCCAAGAAGTGTAAAACTCGTAGCGTATGCAGACGACGTAGCCGTAGTAATCGTCGCTAAACACCTTGACGAGATTAACAACATGTTCGACATCACCTTCGAGCGAGTCCATCGGTGGATGAATACGGTAAACCTGCATCTGGCTACACACAAAACTGAGGCAGTGCTTATATCCAGCAGAAAAATGTTAGAGACCATCAAGCTGAAAGTCGGCGAACAAGAAATCACATCACAACCTTATATCCGATATTTGGGAGTGATGCTTGATGCCCGTCTCAACTTTAAACAGCAAGTTGAACACGTCAGTGCCAAAGCGTCAGTAGTGAGGGCTAGTCTCGCACGACTGATGACGAACGTCGGAGGCTCAAAGCAGAGCAGGAGACTACTACTATCATCAATTGTCACATCGATGCTCACATATGGAATATCCATTTGGGCAGACGCGCTGAAGTTGCAAGAATCATGGAGAAAAGCTGGACCAGTATATCGACTGAGCGCTGTAAGACTAGCCAGTGCATTCCGCACGATATCAGAAGTAGCAGTGTGTCTGATTTCCGGAACTTTGCCGCTCAGAGTTTTAGCTGAGGAAAGACGGAACCTTTACCAACGAAAGAGGTTAACCACACTAAGTGCCGAGGAACTCAGAGCTGAAAAACGGCAGAACAGCATCGCACGATGGCAATTGCAGTGGGACGCCGCGACAACAGGAAAATGGACACACCGTCTCATACCGAAGATCGACGTTTCGCTAAACCGGAATCATGGCGAGGTCAATTACTATCTGACGCAGATGTCAGGACATTGATGTTTTCGGACGTATCTTCACCGCTTCAAGCATGATAATTCACCCGAGTGCCCATCCTGCCCAGGAATCAATGAAGACGCGGAGCACGTTTCCCTAAGGGAAAAAAACACACACACACACACGGAGGGTAGCGTTGTTCACGTCCGTAGGTTCTGCTTTAACACCCTACACGTGCTCTCCTGGGTAGTGCCAAATGAACAACACCAACAACAATATGGAAATGTCACAGAACGTTGAAACATTGTCTACCGTACAGAGGATGGATACCTCAGTGCCGGCGACGGAAGGCGTGCAAACGGGCCTGAACTCGTCGTTATCAAGCGACCGTTACGACAGCCGGGTGGACCCCATGGCTCTGCTGTCTAGAAATGCTACAGAGAGTACGAAAACAGCCCAGATGGAGGAGAACGAACAGCTGAGTAACGTTCCTCCAAAAAGTGGAGGACCTTTTGCTCCTGTCACAAATCAAACCTACCGAGGAAGAATTAACTCTGTACCGACTGTCACCAGCCAACAGTCACCAATGGAGAGACTTGGCAGCAAGATTGAAGAGTTAGCCGACTTCATAAAAGACAAAAAGAATCTCCATCATGAGATCAGAAAATTGGTTACGTCTATTGGTACGGCATATAGGCTTGCCAACAAATCACCAACGACGTCAGCGTCAACGACTCAAACATCTCCGAATCTGAGCAAAAAACCACAGCCACCTCTGGTCACTCCTAAGAGATTATTACAGCAAGGAGAGGGCAACAACAAGAAGAGGCCGCTGTCAACACCCAGCCCTTCCGCAGAAATTGACAAGCCAGCACAGAAGAAGACAGCCCGGGATGATACCTGGACCAAAGTGACTCGGAAAAACAAGAAAAAGGAAGAACAGGAGCCAGTGGCTCAATCTGTTACAGCCTAAAACCAGCCAAGCAATGTTGGCTCCAAGAAACCAAGGAGGAAGAAGACAAGAACTAAAGCTGTCCTAATCAAACCAGCTGAATGCGAACATACGCCAATCTCCTGAAGGAAATCAAGGCCAAGGTAAGCCCTGTCGAGACGGGCGTAGACATAAGGTCTATTAAAAAGACGAAACACGGAGGCGTTCTCCTTGAAATGGCTCGAAAGACCGAAGAAAGCAAGGCATTCACTGATGCAGTAAAGGCAGCCACTGCAAACATCGGCACAGTCAAGACGCTAACACCAACAACAACGATCGAGATCCTCGACTTAGATGAAATCTCTACCGAGAGCGAAGTCTGTAAAGCACTCAAACGTGAATTCACTGACAGCCTGGAGGTCAAACGGGTCAATTTGACAAAGCCCACACCACGAGGTAATCGGGCAGCCTTCTGCGAATTAGACGAGCCCAGTGCGATCAAGGCCCTTGACAAGGCTCGTATACGGATCGGTTTGGTGAACTGTCGTATACGCCCAGTAGTAAAAGTAACACGTTGTTTTAAATGTCTTGGTTATGGACGCCAAACACGTCAGTGTGCGGGACCAAACAGAAGCAGGTGCTGCTACAAATGTGGCGGAGAGAACCACAAGGCCGTAAACTGCACGGAGAAGTTAAAATGCTTCCTTTGTGCTTCGGACAAAGATGCCCAGGATAGTCTATGCCATATTTCTGGCACTGGAGCTTGCAAGGCATCCCGCAAAGCACTTGCAGAAGCCACGAGAGGTCAGAAATGACACGCATACTACAAGGCAACCTGAATAGGTGCGCCTTGGCGCAAAACCTGCTGCGCCAGCGTGTTTTTGAAGATAAAACTGACGTCTGCTTTATCTGCGAGCAATATCTAAACATCGAAGGTAAAACATGGTTCGCAGACGAAACGGGCACGGCAGCAATTTGGATTGTGAACACAAAGAACGTTACCGTCAACAACAGCGAAAGTGGAGCAGGTTTTGTCTGGATTCAAACCCCCACAACCTACTTCATGAGTGTCTATCTCTCACCTAACGAAGGGATTAGTGTGTTCCGACAGAAACTGGCAAATATAGAAGATGCGGTCACTAAGTTCGACGGTGAAATTATCGTAGCCGGAGACTTTAACGCTAAATCGGCTGAGTGGGGCGCTGCTTTCTCCGATACCAGAGGAAACGAGGTCGCTGACGTCACGGCTAGACTCGACCTCATAGTGCTGAACACCGAGAGCATGACGACCTTTAGAAGACCAGGGTACCAAGAATCCATCCTTGACATTTCATTGGCGACTCCAAGGACTGCCAACATAATCGAAGTCTGGGTAGTATCCGAAGAATACAGTGGCAGTGATCACCAGTTCGTGACATTCAGCGTTGGATTGGCATTTGCTGCGGTTTCATAATGCGACGTTTCTAAGCGGAAGTGGAATGCCAAAAGGCTTGATCTAGAGGCATTTAAAGCTTCACTTGCACGAAGCTGGTCTATTCTTCAGAACAACCCGACTTCGGATACGTGCAGCGAGACTGAAAAGGCAGTGCTAAATACGATGAAGGAAATTGCTGCCGCATGTGACGCCTCTATGCCGCGGCTGAAAAATCAGAGTTTCCACAGGCCGGCGTACTGGTGGTGAGCAGACATCGCAGAACTCCGGAAAAAATGCCACAAACTACGTCGGCTAGCAACGAGAGCTGCGAAACGCTCCCCCAATCAAGATCTACTTCTGAGCGAGTATAAGCAGGCCAAAAAGAACCTCAACCGGGCAATCAAAGCGAGCAAAGCGAAATTGTGGCAAGAGATCTGTAACGACCTTGATGATGACATCTGGTGTAACGCCTACCAAATTGTCACTGAACGACTTGGAAAGGCTTCACCAGAAGGGCTGAAGTCACCTGCTTTAATGAGCAGCATCGTAGCGGAGCTGTTCCCCAAACACCAACCAAGGGAAAGAAGACATTATGTGAAAAACAGTATAACACTTTTCACAATCAAGGAGTTACAGGATGCAGCGAAGACCCTCAAGTCAGGAAAGGCACCCGGCCCTGATGGCATATCAGCATCGGTGATCAAGACTGTAGCCCTGGAATATCCAGACATACTCCTGAACACCTACAACACATGCTTGGAAACTGGCACGTTTCCTACGGTCTGGAAGCGGCAGAGATTGATTCTGCTAGATAAAGGCAAAGGTGGCCCTGTAACACCCTCGTCGTTCAGACCACTTTGCATGCTGGACATTGCTGGGAAATTGCTCGAAAAGCTTATACAGGGAAAATTACGAAACGTGCTGGAGGCTTTGCCGCAAACCAACATGGCTTCCGGAAAGGACGTTCAACAGTCGGCGCGATCCAGAAAGTCGTAGGGACAGCGAGAAAAGCATGGTCTGGTAGCCTTAAAGCTCGTAAAGTATGCATTCTCCTCACGCTAGATGTCAAAAACGCATTTAACAGTGCAAATTGGGGAGATATCCTAGACGCTCTGGAACACAAATTTGATGCAAAGCCAGAGAATTTAGCACTAATCGACAACTACCTTGATGAAAGGAAGCTAATAGCGGAGACTACAGAAGGACCCCAAGAATACGCCATAACGGCCAGCGTGCCGCAGGGCTCAATAATGGGGCCCGATTTATGGAACGCGGACTATGACAAGCTTCTTAAAATTCCGTTACCAAAGCAAGTAGAGCTAACGGGCTTTGCAGACGACGTAGTGGCCACGATAATAGTAGACAGCGTAGATGAGGCCGAACTACTAGTTCGGGTAACCGTTGATGCCGTCGAGACTTGGCTCGATAAACACCACCTGAAACTCGCCAAGCAAAAAACCGAGATGGTCGTTCTGACTCGTTAAAAATGGTTCCCAAAACCATTCGCTGTGGACATGGGAGGAACAACACTAACGTCAACAAGGGCCCTGCGCTATCTGGGGGTAATGATAGACGAGAAACTATCTTTTCGCGAACACCTCGATAATGCATGCCAGAAAGCCAACAAGATGGTGTCTAGCCTAGCAAGAATTATGACCAACACCATGGGACCAAGAACAAAAAAGAGAAGAGTTCTTCTAGAAGCAGTCCACTTAGTACTGCTTTATGGAGCGGAGATATGGACAGACATATTGAAGCAGAAAACCTATCGGCGAAAGATAGCAGCAGTACAGCGGCGAAGCACTCTCAGGGTTACCTGCGCCTACCGCACAGTTTCCGAAGCGACTGTATTGGTCATTGCTGGAGCTACGCCCATCGACCTATTAGCGTTCGAGAGAGCAAGATTCTACGACGCTAAAATCGGCGGCGAAAACATGAAGGAGGCAAAAACGACGATAAAAACGGAAACGCAGCAAGAGTGGCAGGACCGATTGACATCGGGAGAGACAGGTAGATGGACAGCGTGACTGATCCCAAACATCAGCGCCTGGCTCTGATTGAAGTAGTGCTAACGCGGTTCCAATCCAGTCCTCCCCGTACCATTTAGTGGAGAGGGGAAGAGGAATGTTATTTTTAGTGGGTAAAAATCTCCACACTGCCGACTATCGATATCTGCCGTAAGATGTGCGGCAGAGTTAACGATAGCGGTGTCTTTTGAAGATCTTTTTTCGTACCTCTTCATAAAAAAAAAAAAAAAAACACACACACACCAAAATTTTTATGAATTATTTTCAACATTATCGGGTTCGCATATTACTATTTTCAGTTGTCAATTACGATTGTTATTAGTTTAGGTTTGTTAAAAAATTATTTTTGTGTCTGAATAATTTTTATTTAATAAAAATTATTCGATGTTTGTATATTATCAGTCAACTACTGGTGCTCGGTCAACTACTGGTACATTTACCCTAGTTTTGGAAAAAAAAATACGAAAAAATAATTAAATGCTTTCAATTTTTGATCGATCTTTATTGAAAAATAATCAAATCTTATCGATGATTGTCACTTTTAAAAATTTTCAGAATGGTATAACGAAAAACAAACATTTAAAAAAAAATACCACTCTGAAAATTTCAGGGGATTCTCAGAAAATACTGAACTGTTTTATAAACAGAAAAAATTAGAGAAACTGTTGACCCTAAATTCCATCCCTGCAACTTCCCGCTGACTCCATATCTAAACGCTCAACTTTTCACTTATTTTGTTTTTTAGCTCTTCAAGCTCAAAAAGATAGCTTTTTTATGCTTTTCAGCTCTTTGAGCTCAAAAGTCTGATAGCAGTTTGATAAAACACTATTTTTTGAATTTTCAAACCGCAATAACTTTTGAATGAATGAACCGATTTTTACGTGGTTGGTGGCATTCGACGCAGTTTTTTTAATGTTAAAAGCTGATTAGTTTTTGAAATC